ATACCCCATGGTGCAACGATGGTGCACGATACCCCATGGTGCACGATACCCCATGGTGCACGATACCCCATGGTGCACGATACCCCATGGTGCACGATACCCCATGGTGCACGATACCCCATGGTGCACGATACCCCATGGTGCACGATACCCCATGGTGCACGATACCCCATGGTGCACGATACCCCATGGTGCACGATACCCCATGGTGCACGATACCCCATGGTGCACGATACCCCATGGTGCACGATACCCCATGGTGCACGATACCCCATGGTGCACGATACCCCATGGTGCACGATACCCCATGGTGCACGATACCCCATGGTGCACGATACCCCATGGTGCACGATACCCCATGGTGCACGATACCCCATGGTGCACGATACCCCATGGTGCACGATACCCCATGGTGCACGATACCCCATGGTGCACGATACCCCATGGTGCACGATACCCCATGGTGCACGATACCCCATGGTGCACGATACCCCATGGTGCACGATACCCCATGGTGCACGATACCCCATGGTGCACGATACCCCATGGTGCACGATACCCCATGGTGCACGATACCCCATGGTGCACGATACCCCATGGTGCACGATACCCCATGGTGCACGATACCCCATGGTGCACGATACCCCATGGTGCACGATACCCCATGGTGCACGATACCCCATGGTGCACGATACCCCATGGTGCACGATACCCCATGGTGCACGATACCCCATGGTGCACGATACCCCATGGTGCACGATACCCCATGGTGCACGATACCCCATGGTGCACGATACCCCATGGTGCACGATACCCCATGGTGCACGATACCCCATGGTGCACGATACCCCATGGTGCACGATACCCCATGGTGCACGATACCCCATGGTGCACGATACCCCATGGTGCACGATACCCCATGGTGCACGATACCCCATGGTGCACGATACCCCATGGTGCACGATACCCCATGGTGCACGATACCCCATGGTGCACGATACCCCATGGTGCACGATACCCCATGGTGCACGATACCCCATGGTGCACGATACCCCATGGTGCACGATACCCCATGGTGCACGATACCCCATGGTGCACGATACCCCATGGTGCACGATACCCCATGGTGCACGATACCCCATGGTGCACGATACCCCATGGTGCACGATACCCCATGGTGCACGATACCCCATGGTGCACGATACCCATGGTGCACGATACCCCATGGTGCACGATACCCCATGGTGCACGATACCCCATGGTGCACGATACCCCATGGTGCACGATACCCCATGGTGCACGATACCCCATGGTGCACGATACCCCATGGTGCACGATACCCCATGTGCACGATACCCCATGGTGCACGATACCCCATGGTGCACGATACCCCATGGTGCACGATACCCCATGGTGCACGATACCCCATGGTGCACGATACCCCATGGTGCACGATACCCCATGGTGCACGATACCCCATGGTGCACGATACCCCATGGTGCACGATACCCCATGGTGCACGATACCCCATGGTGCACGATACCCCATGGTGCACGATACCCCATGGTGCACGATACCCCATGGTGCACGATACCCCATGGTGCACGATACCCCATGGTGCACGATACCCCATGGTGCGCGATACCCCATGGTGCACGATACCCCATGGTGCACGATACCCCATGGTGCACGATACCCCATGGTGCGCGATACCCCATGGTGCACGATACCCCATGGTGCACGATACCCCATGGTGCGCGATACCCCATGGTGCACGATACCCCATGGTGCACGATACCCCATGGTGCACGATACCCCATGGTGCACGATACCCCATGGTGCACGATACCCCATGGTGCACGATACCCCATGGTGCACGATACCCCATGGTGCACGATACCCCATGGTGCACGATACCCCATGGTGCACGATACCCCATGGTGCACGATACCCCATGGTGCACGATACCCCATGGTGCACGATACCCCATGGTGCACGATACCCCATGGTGCACGATACCCCATGGTGCACGATACCCCATGGTGCACGATACCCCATGGTGCACGATACCCCATGGTGCACGATACCCCATGGTGCACGATACCCCATGGTGCACGATACCCCATGGTGCACGATACCCCATGGTGCACGATACCCCATGGTGCACGATACCCCATGGTGCACGATACCCCATGGTGCACGATACCCCATGGTGCACGATACCCCATGGTGCACGATACCCCATGGTGCACGATACCCCATGGTGCACGATACCCCATGGTGCACGATACCCCATGGTGCACGATACCCCATGGTGCACGATACCCCATGGTGCACGATACCCCATGGTGCACGATACCCCATGGTGCACGATACCCCATGGTGCACGATACCCCATGGTGCACGATACCCCATGGTGCACGATACCCCATGGTGCACGATACCCCATGGTGCACGATACCCCATGGTGCACGATACCCCATGGTGCACGATACCCCATGGTGCACGATACCCCATGGTGCACGATACCCCATGGTGCACGATACCCCATGGTGCACGATACCCCATGGTGCGCGATACCCCATGGTGCACGATACCCCATGGTGCACGATACCCCATGGTGCACGATACCCCATGGTGCACGATACCCCATGGTGCACGATACCCCATGGTGCACGATACCCCATGGTGCACGATACCCCATGGTGCACGATACCCCATGGTGCACGATACCCCATGGTGCACGATACCCCATGGTGCACGATACCCCATGGTGCACGATACCCCATGGTGCACGATACCCCATGGTGCACGATACCCCATGGTGCACGATACCCCATGGTGCACGATACCCCATGGTGCACGATACCCCATGGTGCACGATACCCCATGGTGCACGATACCCCATGGTGCACGATACCCCATGGTGCACGATACCCCATGGTGCACGATACCCCATGGTGCACGATACCCCATGGTGCGCGATACCCCATGGTGCACGATACCCCATGGTGCACGATACCCCATGGTGCACGATACCCCATGGTGCGCGATACCCCATGGTGCACGATACCCCATGGTGCACGATACCCCATGGTGCACGATACCCCATGGTGCACGATACCCCATGGTGCACGATACCCCATGGTGCGCGATACCCCATGGTGCACGATACCCCATGGTGCACGATACCCCATGGTGCACGATACCCCATGGTGCGCGATACCCCATGGTGCACGATACCCCATGGTGCACGATACCCCATGGTGCACGATACCCCATGGTGCACGATACCCCATGGTGCACGATACCCCATGGTGCACGATACCCATGGTGCACGATACCCCATGGTGCACGATACCCCATGGTGCACGATACCCATGGTGCACGATACCCCATGGTGCACGATACCCCATGGTGCACGATACCCCATGGTGCACGATACCATACCCCATGGTGCACGATACCCCATGGTGCACGATACCCCATGGTGCACGATACCCCATGGTGCACGATACCCCATGGTGCACGATACCCCATGGTGCACGATACCCCATGGTGCACGATACCCCATGGTGCACGATACCCCATGGTGCACGATACCCCATGGTGCACGATACCCCATGGTGCACGATACCCCATGGTGCACGATACCCCATGGTGCACGATACCCCATGGTGCACGATACCCCATGGTGCACGATACCCCATGGTGCACGATACCCCATGGTGCACGATACCCCATGGTGCACGATACCCCATGGTGCACGATACCCCATGGTGCACGATACCCCATGGTGCACGATACCCCATGGTGCACGATACCCCATGGTGCACGATACCCCATGGTGCACGATACCCCATGGTGCACGATACCCCATGGTGCACGATACCCCATGGTGCACGATACCCCATGGTGCACGATACCCCATGGTGCACGATACCCCATGGTGCACGATACCCCATGGTGCACGATACCCCATGGTGCACGATACCCCATGGTGCACGATACCCCATGGTGCACGATACCCCATGGTGCACGATACCCCATGGTGCACGATACCCCATGGTGCACGATACCCCATGGTGCACGATACCCCATGGTGCACGATACCCCATGGTGCACGATACCCCATGGTGCACGATACCCCATGGTGCACGATACCCCATGGTGCACGATACCCCATGGTGCACGATACCCCATGGTGCACGATACCCCATGGTGCACGATACCCCATGGTGCACGATACCCCATGGTGCACGATACCCCATGGTGCACGATACCCCATGGTGCACGATACCCCATGGTGCACGATACCCCATGGTGCACGATACCCCATGGTGCACGATACCCCATGGTGCACGATACCCCATGGTGCACGATACCCCATGGTGCACGATACCCCATGGTGCACGATACCCCATGGTGCGCGATACCCCATGGTGCACGATACCCCATGGTGCACGATACCCCATGGTGCACGATACCCCATGGTGCACGATACCCCATGGTGCACGATACCCCATGGTGCGCGATACCCCATGGTGCACGATACCCCATGGTGCACGATACCCCATGGTGCACGATACCCCATGGTGCACGATACCCCATGGTGCACGATACCCCATGGTGCGCGATACCCCATGGTGCACGATACCCCATGGTGCACGATACCCCATGGTGCACGATACCCCATGGTGCACGATACCCCATGGTGCACGATACCCCATGGTGCACGATACCCCATGGTGCACGATACCCCATGGTGCACGATACCCCATGGTGCGCGATACCCCATGGTGCACGATACCCCATGGTGCACGATACCCCATGGTGCACGATACCCCATGGTGCACGATACCCCATGGTGCACGATACCCCATGGTGCGCGATACCCCATGGTGCACGATACCCCATGGTGCACGATACCCCATGGTGCACGATACCCCATGGTGCACGATACCCCATGGTGCACGATACCCCATTGTGCACGATACCCCATGGTGCACGATACCCCATGGTGCACGATACCCCATGGTGCACGATACCCCATGGTGCACGGAGGCAGGTTGGTGGATCGCATGGACATGTGGGTGGCGCGAGCCCTGTCTGCTTTCACTCCATCCCATCTCACCCCTCCTTCCCCTCACCATCCCCACCCATGCCGTTTCTATAACACGATACCCCATGGGGCATGGAGGCAGGTTTGTGGAGCGCATGGGTCTGGCATATGCAGCAGTCGATGTGGTCGTGGCACATGCCTCGTCTCCTTTTCCCCACACCCCTCCGTCCCCCCACCACCTCCATGGCCCATGGTAGGTTTGTGGAGCGGATGGACTTTGCATATGCACCAGCAGATGTCGTGGTGGCACGGGCCGGTGCCGTCACGTGCTCTGAGCTGCTCACCACTCCCACGCCCTGCATTCTGGTACTCACACTCGCACTCACACAACTTTTTGAGGCGCCACGGAAATTGCCGCGCCGTGCAAATTGGTGCTCACAGTCGCACTCATGCACGCGCGCGTGTGAGTGCGTGTAAATGAAGGCAGAATCTTTCCGTGCCCCTCGTCACTCTGTCACATCACACCTTATTCTATGCACAGATCCCATCACCACACGTGGCAGAGGACCATCAAACCGTGAATGCACGAGCCATGGTGCAAGCAGGGGCGGCTGTGATGCTGCCTCAGGACCAGCTCTCCCCAGACACTCTCCTCTCTGCTGTCACCTCGCTGCTTGGTAAAACCCCATGATAGTCGCCACGGAAGTTGCTAGAGGTCTTGAGTTTTGACCCGTCATAGGACTCTGCTTTTCTGTGCTGCTTGGTTATCCCTGTATCCCCTGCCCTTGCCCTTGCCCTCCACAATCTCCCTCCATCTTTTTGGTACACTTCTTCATGATCATCAGGTTAAAGCATTGTAATGAATAGCCATTTGCCACTCGTACGAAGTGCATATTTATAGCTTCTGCTTGGAAACTGACATATTCCCCCCCCTTTCCCCTCCCCACCCCCTTTTCTTCCCCCCATGGGCAGCGGATGGAGCAAGGAGGGAGAAGATGGAAGAGTGTGCAGGGGCTGCTGCCAGTGCTGATGCTGCTGACGTCATGGCACAGGAGGTGCTTCGACTGGCGCTCCAGCAGCAGCAGCACAGAAAGCACAAGGCTAAATTTGCATAGAGAATTCTGATTGACACATTTTTTGCACAGAATGTCAAACTATATGTTTGTATTGTCTCTAGGCTATGGTGGGTTAGCTTACAAGGGGTACAACACTTCAGGGTTAATACTTGTACCCAACTCATTCATACCGTCATCGCCCGGATATAAGACAGTGTTGAATAGTAGACAGGGGTTGTCTACTATACGGGTGTCTCTTATAAACAGGCAAGCCTTTTTATACGACACCTATTTGTGTGTACGAGATAAGACATATATGTCTTATAATCAGAACCGGGGTTTAGGGGTTTTCTTATAAACAGGGGGTGTCTTCTAAACGAGCCTACACTACTTTAGGGGGGTACATCCATACATTCATGAATCCCTACTTTCTACCTAACCCCCCTCAGTAACCGCCTCCTCTGCAGCACTAGCAACAGGCTCTACACCCAGGTCTGGCACTCGCCAGGCATGCCTAGCCGTCTCCCTTGGCTCGATCATGCGGTCAGCCTCGGCCGCCGCTCCGCGGTAGTTGGGGGTCTCCTGGTACAGCACCTCCAGGCCAGTTGCCACGGCCACCTCCCGCACGCCCTCCGCCTGCATCGCCTCCTCCTCCTCCTCCTCCTCCTCCTCCTCCTCCTCCTCCTCCTCCTCCTCCTCCTCCTCCTCCTCCTCCTCCTCCTCCTCCTCCTCCTCCTCCTCTGGAGCCTTCCGAAGCAGGCGCGTGTTGTCGCCTGTGGTCCCCCCGAGGGACATGTCCTCGGAGACATCGGTGGTGCTCCTGGCGCGCAGGTGAGACATCACCAGGTGGTTCTCCGTTCCGTCCAGCTTGCTGGAGATCCCACAGTGGCGGAACGCGTCGATGATGATCCGCCTGGGGACTTGATCCCAAGCCTCCGCGATCCACTGCAGCACCACGGGGTGCGGAGGCCTCCGCAGGTTCCCTGCGGGTGGGACAGAGGACACGGCAGCGAGATGTTAACGATAAGGACATGAAACAGAGCAGGAATTTAAAATGAACAGCCAACTCACCCTTCTTCGTCTTCAGGTGAATCCCTTCACGCATGAACCACCTGGCGTAGCGCGCTCGCACGGCAGCCTTGAAGCACCGGTTGATGGAGACGTCCAGGGGTTGAATCTGGCTCGTACAACCCGCTGGAATGACTGCAGGGGTGATGCTGTGCGTGCGGTACGACTGAAGCATGGTCTGGGTGATGTGGCCGCGGTAGGAGTCCAACACCAGCATCGCACGCCTCGCGCTCTTGCCGCGCTGGGGGTTCAGATGGGGAAGCACCTCCTTGGACAGCCAGGTCTGCACAGCGCTCTCGTCCATCCACCCGTTGTCCTGTGCTTGGACCACGATTCCTGCCAGGCACACAAGGGACAGACGGACATCAGCACAGTGGGGCACGCTCATGAGGCAGGGGCAAGGTTGAAGTCATGGCGCTTACCGTCCGGAATCTCACAGTTGGGGACGTTCTTCATCTTGAACCACACCCACGGCCGCAGCTTCTCCCCGGATGCAGTGCACGCGAGCATCACCGTCAAGCGCGTCTTCTGGTAGCCTGCAGTGCGGATTGGGACCGAGCGCGCGCCACGGTGCTCGATCGTCCTCTCGGCCGGCATCTCCACGATCAGTGGCGTCTGGTCCGCGTTGATGATACGGGCCAGGTCGATGTTGTGCCGCGCCCTGTTGATGCGCACGAACTTCCAGAAGGACTCGCAGTCCTTCGCGCACTCTGCAAACGGGACAGGAACAGAAGCGAGGGACGGTTAGACAACGAGCAAGGTAAGACATGCATACAATGGGCCGTGCGCGGCACGAACTCCTTATCCACGCACCTGCCGACAGACGTTGTCCGACCTTCGTCTTCACCCGCATCACCAGGTTCCAGCGGTCACGGAAACGCTGGCTCCAGTGAGAGCTCGCGTTCCAGTTCTTGCCGGGGTAATGCTTCTTCATCCACTCGCGGCTCCACTTTTGGGTGTCCTTCACCGAGATGGCCACCCCGTTAGCGCGCTGAAGGCAGATGTAGCGGTACAACGCTGCCTCCATGTCGGGGTAGTGTGCGTGGCGGCCCCCCCCGTGCATCCGCTTGCGGCAGTTAGCCGCGCCCTTGTAGATGCCCGCAGCCGCCTCCGCGCACCAGCGTCTGATGCAGGCGACGCTCGCGGTTGACTCCAAGCTAGTCTTCTTCAAGGAGCCGAGCTCCTGATAGCGGCGCGCCCACTTAACCTTCTCACGCACGGTCCAGCCGCGGCGCTTCTTCGTAGTGTCTTTGCTGCGAGGGGAAGGTGGGCGGGTGTTGGGATTATGGAGGGTGGGGTCCTTCGGCGCCTCCTTCTCAGGGAACGTGGGAATCGGGCCCGCCGCCGCCGCGTACTCATCGTCGCTGCCCAACGCCTCGTTGACGATGATGTCGTCAGGATTCGGCGCCTTCTTCGCCTTTTTCTTTGCCGCACCCTTGCTGGATCCAGGGTCTCCGTCGTCCTTGCGCTTCTTGTTGCTTGTGCGGCCACGAGCAGGGGCCTTTGCAGGGGCCTTAGCAGGGGACTTAGCAGGGGCTTCCACGACCTTTGCCTTTCCCTTCTCCGCAGCGGTGAGTAGGGGGCGACGCTCCTCCCCGGGACTGTCGTCGTCACAGAGCACCACGCGGGCGCGCTTCGTCGTGGACTGTAGGCGATGGCGCAGCCTCCGCTTCAGTAGCGGAACGTCGTCGTCTGTCCCAAGGCTCCACGGGTCGTCGTCGTCGCCCTCACCCTCAAATAAGACGGCATCCGCAGCCACCTTGTTCGCCTCCGCCACCGCGTCCGCATCCGCAGGCGCCTCTGTCTCGAGTTCCGCCGCCGCCGCGTCGGCAGCCTCATTCGCATCCACCGCCGCTTCCTGTGCCTCCGCGTTGTCACCGCCAGCATCTTCACCTCCGTCGTTGTCGGAATCACCAGCCCGCCACTCTTCCACCTCGTCGTCGCTCCCGACCGGCTGATTCCACCATTCGTCCTCCTCGATGTCGGCAGTACCAAATTCGTCGCCCGAAGCGCTGTCATCGTGGCCGTTCTCCGGCCAATCCTCCTCGGCGTCGTCGCCGTGTGCTTCGTCTCCGTCTTCCCCGTCACAGCTCGCACCGGAGGCGGCGGTAGGACTTCCCGCCTTGCTCGCGTTCTTCGCCATGGCTACGCGGATGTCATCGCCGGGCGAGTTAATTCGCCCGTAGTTATTCACCTGCACGTGAGGACGAGGTGAGGACTTGCCTAGGGGTACCTTGCTGCGCATGGTTAGAGAGCCTGCCGAGAGCAAGGTTGAGGTGAGAATTCAACCTCCATGAGCACCAAATGAAGTGAAAGCCCGACTACCCCCCCCAGCCAGAGTGCCCCATCCACAGGTGCCGAGCCGCTCCTCTACGAGGCATCTCCTCGTAGAGGACAGCCTGACGCTGCCAACGTGCTGCCAGCAGCGTTCTGGAAGCTGCCATGCGCTGCTGGCAGCAAAACGACACTGGCAGCATCATTAGATGCTGCCAGCACAGAGGAATCTTGCCAGCGGTGGCAGCTTTGCTGCATCACCACCGAGGTCGGCCTGTTTCAATGAATCTGGTCCCTGGGTGTTTTCTACACACTTTGCAAGTGTTACAGTCAACTTAAAATTTTTTCCATTTATAAGAATTATAAGACACCCTAAACCATCCCGTTTACAAGATAACTCAAGCATTTTTGCCCGTGTACGAGATGAGACATATATGTCTTATATCCGGGCGATGACGGTAGCTCATTCATTCCTGCACAGTTGATTCTGACATTGTATTCAGAGCAGGAAACCTGTTAGGTCTTTAGGGCCCACCGATCGTTCCGCTAGTTCCTGCCCGAAGCGCCCTTGCGCTGTCCGGCCCTCTCGCACAGTGTCACGCTGCCCTGCAGCTACTCCCACTGCCCCTGCCTTAGCGCGCTGCCCTGCTGTCACGCGCACCCCTGCTGCCTGCGAGCAGCCCTTGCCCCGCACGCCACTGCTGCCCGCGAGCAGCCCCTCACCCGAGCGCCCCTGCTGCCCGCGAGCAGCCCCTGCCCCGCGCGCCACTGCTGCCCGCGAGCAGCCCCTGACCCGAGCGCCCCTGCTGTCTGCGAGCAGCCACTGCCTTGCGCGCCCCTTCTGCCCGCGAGCAGCCCCGCGCGCCACTGCTGCCCGCGAGCAGCCCCTCACCCGAGCGCCCCTGTTGCCCACGAGCAGCCCCTGCCCTGCGCGCCCCTTCTGCCCGCGAGCAGCCCTGCAGCCCAGCGTGCCCCGCAGCCTAGCGCGCCAGTGCGCCCCACAGCCCAGCGCACCAGCGCGCCCCGCTGCTAAGCGCGCTAGCGCTCCCCACTGCTAAGCGCGCCAGCGCGCCCCGCAGCCCAGCGCCCCAGCGCACCCCGCTGCTAAGCGCGCCAGCGCGCCCCGCAGCCCAGCGCCAGCGTGCCCCACTGCGAAGCACGCCAGCGCGCCCCGCTGCTAAGCGCGCCAGCGCGCCCCGCAACCCTAAATTATAGAAATAATATATATATAAAAAAAAACCTCCAGCGCGCCCTGCTGCCCAGCGCGCTGCTGCTGCACACGCTGCTACTGCTGCGCTGTGCATTGCCGAGCAGCGCTGCCCAGGCCGAGCCGCGCCGCCCAGCCCGAGCCGCCCTCCTGCTGCTACTGCTGCTGCCGCTGCTCGTGCTGCTGCCGCTGCTGGTGGAGGTGCGACTGGGAGTACAGGAGGTGCTGGACCTACTACTGATTGTCACTGCCTGTCATGGCCACTCTCACGGCAGTTGCAGCGGCTAGGGGTGGACAGCGGCGGTCACTGCCTCTCCTGGACGACCCCACCCCTCTGCAGCTTCGCGAGTGGGTTCTTCAGCGAGGCCGTCCAGATGGTGGAGGCTTTGGCTTTCTGCGTACTGCACGGAGGCGGCAGGTGAGTCAGCAGGAGACCTTCTCCCCGCAGGTGCTTAGTCATTTGGTTCCTCAGCGATGTGTCACTGGTTCTGTCGAGGCTGCTGCACTAGGTGCTAGTGAGTCTGCTGCCGCACTAGGTGCTAGTGAGTCTGCTGCCGCTCCAGGAGTCTGCTGCAACAATAGGCGCTCGTGCGTCTCCCGCCACAGATCGTGCCTCAGCTGAGGCCTTGCACACCTTCACACTTGACTCAGGCGCGTCACTTCTTTCGTGACTGCACCACACTCACACCACTTGCTGCACCGGTACCAGTCTCACTGGCTGACCCTTCTGGGGGCCCAGTAGTCGCACGAGCCACCACTGTCCTCCCGTGTTCAGCAGTCCCCTCCGGTTCTCTGTCAGGTCTCCACCTCCCCATGTTCTCGACGAACTTGGTGAGCAACGCTGCCATTCAGGATGTCTGGGTTGATACCTTCATTCCCGGAGGGCAGCGTGTGGCGATCTGTACATGCTCCCGGACTGGCCGTCACCTTGCTACGTTCACTCGACGGCCTGGGTCTAGTCTGTACACACTGACCACTGCGTCTGCACAGGTGGCTGAGTCAGGTCAGGTGGCTGCGTCGAGTCAGGTGTCTGCGTCTGGTCAGCTTGCAACGTCTTGCTCGTGTCGGGTACTCTCCCACCAGACTCTCCTCTGGCACCACCGTCTCTGCAGCATGCACTCCTGTCTCCTTCTCTCTGGCCTTCCCAGGTCCCTGCCCTCCCTCCCGCGCTCGCCTGCCCCGCCGTGCCTTCCCAGCGTCGAGGGGCGGCAGCGCGCCGCTCCTCACTCTCCCGAGTTTCCTCCGA